AAAAAAAAAAAAAAAAAAAAAAAAAGTCTGATTAAAAGGTGGTAGATTGTGGGAAATTACAAAATTACTATGGATTTTAGATTAATGCGATAGCTTGTCAGTTGTGAATTTTTTTTATGGGAGATTAATACCTTTGCAGTTTCAACTACTCTCCTTTCCTTAAAAGAAGATTAATTTCTTTGGAGGGAAATTCACGCTCTATTAAATGTAATTTTTTTCCTACCCCTAGCTGTAGGATAGATATTTTATCTTTGAGTATTATTACATCATACTATAATAGTAAAGGTGACTTTCATTTATCAACAAATTTTGTTTTTAATTTCATATTAACATTTTTCATTTCAGTAAGTATTCCAGAACACGATGAGGCAGACGAGATAAGTGGTAGGTACTATGCTGCAGACTCTCCTTCCTTGACTATCAGCTCAAGATTTATGAAGTGTCACTGTTTAAGTAATTTTCTTAGCCTCCACAATTTTAACTTGAATGAAAATAGCGAATGAGACAAGATAGTAAGAATGCTAAAGTTTCACCCTTTCAATTCACAAGTTTGCATGTTACTAATAGTGGTGAGCCACGATAATTTTTAATAAGAAATAATAACTAGATTGACTCCTTTTCAAAAATCCTTGGTATTGTCTGTAATCGCCTGGGCTTTTCTTCTTTGTTGTAGATGAAAACAGAGAAAAGGTGAATGACCAGGCAAAGCTAATTGTGGGCATCGTTGTTGGCCTCCTGCTTGCTGCCCTGGTTGCTGGTGTCGTCTACTGGCTGTACATGAAGAAGTCAAAGTAAGTTGGGGGGAAAAGATCTTCATTGTTCAATGACGTCCACTGGGGGAAAATGCAAGGTGTTAATTGTGCTTCCTCCAGCTGGGCATGGAATTTCTACGATAGGAAAGACTTGTCACCCTCACCAGGCTGACCCTATCCTGTTCTGCTTTGAGTAGTGATCGCATTACCACCACTGGGGACGTGGCTTGGGGGTGGGACTTCACATGTGCCTCATTACTTTTCTCAGTCAGTAGTCTGAATTCAACTGTTCAACTTTTTCAGTGCCTAGGTGGATTATTTTTATTTATTTATTTTTTATTTTAAATTTATCTTTATTGTTGAAAGTATTACAGATGTCCCCTTCCCCTCCCCCCCCATGGATCCCTCCACCTCACTCCTGTCCCCTCCCTAGGCCTTCACCACACTATTGTCTGTCCATGGGTTATGCATATAGGTTACCTAATTAGTCTCCTCCCCTCCACACACCTTCCCTCTGAGATTCGTCAGTCTGCTCCATGCTTCCATGTCTCTTTATCTATTTTGTTCATCAGTTTATTTTGCTCATTAAATTCCACATATGGGTAAGATCATGTGGTACTTGTCTNCACCCCACCCCCAGGCCTTCCCCATGCCATTGTCTGTGTCCGTGGGTTATGCATTTGTGCATATTTAAGCCAGTCAGAGAAAGACAAGTATCACATGATCTTACTCATATGTGGAATCTAATGAACAAAATAAACTGATGAACACAATAGATCCAGGGACGTAGAAGCATGGAACAGATTTTCAAATCTCAGAGGGGAGGGAGGAGGCGGGGAGAGATAGTCATCAAAGAACCTTGGTGGATTTTTAAAAAACCCATATTGCCTAAAAGTCAACCATTCTAAACCATTCGATGGAGGTTGGTGGAGATGAATTAAAGTGACTAGCCCTGGCCAGTGTGGCTCAGTTGGTTGGGTGTCGTCCTGTGCACTGAAAGGTTGCTAATTAGATTCCCAGTAAGGGCACAGGCCCAGGTTGGGGGCTCGATCTCGGGTTCGGGGCATGCCGTAGGCAGCCCATCGATGTCGCACTCTCACAGTGCTGCTTCTCTCTCTTTCCCTCTCCTTTCCTAATAAATAAATAAATAAACAAATAAATAAATAAACAAATAAATAAATAAATAAATAAATAGCGGCCAGGTGTCTTTGCAGGGACAGGTCCAGCCAGCAGTGAAACTGACCGTGAGCTAGAATTACCTCGTTGTCACCACTCCTCTATCCTATTTAGTTCACTTTGCTCCATAGAGGGATCTAATTCAGAGAAAATTTCATCATTATTTTGTTTTTAATTTTTAAAAAATTGATTAGGAAAAGTACCAAGACTACTTTGAAAATGACTTAGATGGTGTTTAGATTTAAAATTATTAGCATCATAAAATAATGCAGATGTTATCAACCTAACAAATAATCTAACGGGGGTTTATGATGAAAATCCAATTGACTGGTGAAGGTTCTTCACGTGCACACGTGCTTAGTACTTGTTCCCCCTCACTCTAGCCCTCGCCCTGTATTCAAACGTGACTGGGCAGAGGTGGGTCTTAGCATTTGCATTTTTAAAAAGCTTTATTGGTGGTTTTGTGGTATACCACTCATCTCAAACATGGGTTTAAATCCTCTTATCTTACAAATGAAGTCATTGACTTTTGCAAGGAGATGCGTATAGCTAGTGGCAACTTTGGACTTAATTTTATATTTTCTTGTTGTCTAATATAACTCCTTTTAACAAACTCAGGTAAGTTAACTTAAAGAACATCAAAAGAAAAGGCAGACTCGGGGTTCATGATCTTACCCTATAAAGTATTAACAATTTCAGCGGAGAAATGTTCAAATGGAGCTGCCATCAAAGAGAGGCAATAGCTCAGAAATTTTAAAGTCACATAATATGAGCTTGTACTAAGCTCTGTTTTGTTCTTACAACCCATCTTGGAAGTAGATACTATTATTATTCATATTTTTCATTTGAAAAAACTAAGGCAGAGAATGTTTGAATGACTTGCACAATCACGTTTGATTTAGGCAGTGATGCTTTAGGATCTTTCTGCTTTATCTCTCGGCCTTACTTCCTCTCACGGTGCCTCACTTTTTCTCTCTTTTCGTCACATGAGACAGTAACATTTTCCAGTTGTGGGCTGAGGTTGATGTGCATGGTCACACGCACATCAGGGTACAATTTCTTCTGATCTTGGAACTTCACTCCTCAGTCTTGGGCAGTCTCCACCATCACATGATAACAGTTGTTCTTTTCCTCAATAAACATTTTGCCTGCAACAACTTCATGTGGGTTTGTGTCTATGGTTTCTATGGAAAATTTAGAAAATTTCCTGCCTGCCCCATGAAAGTGAAAGGAAATGCAAAGAGTTGCCCAGAGGCAGTATCTAGCTTATAGAAATTCACCACCTATTTGTATACGTTTCCTAATGATCAAAATCTGTAATCCACAATAAGGTACTCAAAATCTAACAGCTTAGTCTCTAGGGTATTTCTATTTTATTTACTTGGGTTTTCTGATCCACTCCAAAGTAATCTCGTTTCCTAAAAAAATGAAAATAAAATTTCCCTATATTCTGAAATTGAACTGAAAAATAGACAGCAGTCCTCTGCATTACTATCAAATGATTATTAAATTCTTGGAGTATCCCCAACTTCCTTAATATACTATCCTAATTCCCAGTATTCTAATTCCCATCTATGAACAGAAGAAATTTATGTGTGTGGGGGCGGAGGTTGTTACTTCATTGGTTATTACCATACGGTAACCCCAAATTAAAATCATGGGTAAATAAATGTTGGACACTTGGCTTTATAGTGTCTGTAGGTTAATGGAGAAGACTTTCTGAATTTCTTAAGGTATCTCATTAAGTGCAATTTTTACCATCCAACTTGAACATTCATTCAAATACCTGTTACTTAATTGAAAAGTGTACCAACTTTTCTAGAGTTAGTAGTATTGGTAATCAAAGTGATAAATTTCAGTCCTCACCCCAAGCATGGAAGTGTTTTCTTAGGAATCTGCGGGGCTCTGCAAGGTCGCTGAGTGCTTTGCTTTCGTGGGGAGTCTTAGCAGGTTGTTCCGAACCGGCGCCCTCGGACACAAGGCAGTGTTGTGGCAATGAGTCCTCGCCAATCCCTTTCTTCGGTATTCAGATTTATAACAAAAGCCTTCAAGTTCGGAGCTGCTAAGGCATATTTGGCTTTACTGTATTCCCTTTCTTCTCTTCTAGATCATTCCCTCAAATTTACAAGTTAATGCAAGGGTTTCATTTCCACCTGTAGCTAATTTATCACCATTTTACATGCCTGTGGGAGATTTTTAATAAAGATCTGGTCCAGACTTTCCCCCAGATACCTAAAGAAACATTGCCTTGTGTTTACCATCCTACAAAATAATACCGTCAATAAACTTAGTGAGTCACCCCTTGTTGCAAACAACTTCGAGCAACAAATTATGAGTCAAATATCTGATTTAAAAGCCGCATTGATACATCTAGCTCAGTGGTGAATTTCGAGAAACATTTAGGGGAAATTATTTGTATTGGCAATTTAGAAATTCATTTGAGAGAGACGAGAAAAGCAAATCTTTTATGCCCAAGTAGAATTTAAGAGTGTATTTGTTAAGATACCTAGTGGCTACCCAGCTAACATGCACTCCCCATTCCATTATTATGAGCTATCTATTTTTATATCTATTTTTAATGTGGAGACCTGCAGCAGGAAGTGCTTAGCAGCGGTGCTTAGCATTTTGAGGTGATATATTCATAGCAGAGTAAGGACTCACGATTCCTCTGCTGCTTTGATTCACATAACTTCTCATGGGAAGTTTTTTAAATTGGAGATTTTTTTGATAATGAGAATGGATGACTGATATCTCCCATATATATAGGGTCTTAACTAACAGTTCCGGGCAAAAGGCATTCGTTGACTAAGCCCACTCGATGTCTAGTTGTTTAACAGGTTGGAGAACATTAATGAACTAGAGATAATCTAATAATTTTTAAATTATTTATTCATTTTCTCTCCATCCTGTCCTCCGAACATTGTTTTCACCTCTGCGGGAAGTTAAATGTGACTATTTGAGTTTCAAATCCTCTCTGCATAGCTTATAGTGCAAGAGCTAATGAAAAATTAAAAGAGCCAAAGAGGAAGGGAAAAGGCAGTGTGCTGCAGACACAGACTCGCTCAGAGGCTTATTAAAGCCGTAACCTCCAGGGTGGTCGCGCTTAAAAGACCCCTGACCGCCATGCCTCTCACCACTGAGCTGGGAGGAAGACACGTTTGCCCGACATTCGTAACCTCAAAATACACATTGTCTGTATATCGGAAACTTACCGAGACATTGATGTTTTGCAAATGAGGAACTCGTGACTATTTTCATGAAAATGAGTGTGTAATATATAGGCAGTCTGGAAATCTAAAAATTACAGATACCTCCGTGAGTTCTGCCTTTATAGAGCACCGTATTATTCCCCTTGTCTCAGAAAAACCAAGACCGTTCTAAATTGCGAAGGACTGAAGAGGACTTGCCTCTAACACTGAGACGTCAGCAAACAATGTTATATTAGGCCTTTCTAAACCCTTCTCATTAGTATCTCTTGATGTATGAAATAGAATCTCGCAAGAAAGTTGATTTTAACTGAATTATATTTCCAATCAATACCCACTCTGATGAGGGAAGATCGACCCCCTACTGAATAAATTGGAAAGATAGTGCTGGGGGACCCTTTGTAGCACGTTATTAATCTTTCCTCATTTATCACTACATAAGCACCTACTACTCTTTTTTTTCTTTTTTGTTTTTGTTCTTTTACTGAAATCCTCAACAATTTAGTGAGAGGAATACAATTAATCCTAGTTCATAGTATCAAAGGCTCAGGGAGAGTAACCTGCCCAAGTGTATTCCGTATCCCTTATACAGTCTTTTCAAATATACGTTGGTGCCTCCCCAGGACTTCTTTGGGGTTAAATTTTACCTGACTTTGA